ATAATTTTTTTTTTAAATGTTTTACTTCCAATTACTGTTTTTTCACTTCCTGGTCCTCTTTGGCAAAAGTGATATAATGTGCCCAAGCATTGCATCCTGGGAAGGTTACATCAGCAGAGCATTGCTGGGAAATCTCATCTGTAATCTCACAAGATCTCAGGGGAAGGCCTCCCCTGAGATGATGTGCATGGTCACATGTCCTAGTCACATGTGCCCGAGTTCCAGGAAGTAAAGGAGATATAATAATCTGCCCTTAGTAGAAATGGTCACTGTGAGAAGAATGGGGAAGAAAAGAGAAATAAGATCTGCAAAGAATACAAAGCCGGCAATGATCTAGAAGTATGTGTTTGTAGATTGTCATTGCTAAACATTTCTAAAGGTGTCTTTGTTGTCATAATAAAGATAAGAGTAAAGTTCCTCTTTAATTCACTAAATATTCTAGGCTGCTGTACCCTGTAATAGAAGAGCATGAATACCCTCCTCAGTCGGGTGGCGATCTGGAACACATCTGGAAGTGTTGGATACCATGGTGTTGCTAGATCTGCATGTCCCTGGCCGAGTCCTGTAATGATGTAGCTGCCAGTTGGAGGAACCACAATGTTCACCATGGGACATGCTGTCTGACACAACTGGAAGTGTCAGCTCTGCAAAAGATAGACTTCTGGACTCCCCACCCGTTGGAGAGCTAAGTATTCATCCTCTACTATAACAGCGTGCAGCTGCCTGGTTTTTAGATCTGGACTCTGGGGATGGAAAACCTTTTCATTGGCAACCCCTCCCCAGTGCCATGGTAAACCACTTGTTTTCCCTAGAAGTTGATGAATAAGGTGATGTACTAAAGCTGGCCATACACTATGTGAATTTTGGCCAGTTCTTGATGAACTGGTTGAAAATCACTCAGCGGGTGCCAGCATCTCTCGATCAGCTAATCAAGCAGCTGGTCAGAAAATCTTGGAACGCACAGAGTGGCAGCCAGTCAGCTGCCCGCTCTGTTGAGGTATTCTGACAGCGGGAGTGAAGACAGCGGGAGATTCCTCGATCAAAGCGTTGACGGAGGAATCTGTTCTTTTTTCTTCCTTCTGCATGCGGGTTGACCAAAAAATATATTCGTGTGTGGCCAGCTTTACTTTAATCCTTATTGTTGTCTATGTCTGTATTAGAAAAATGTCTTGTTTCCTATCCTAGTGACCACCTGTCTCCAGCATAGGAAGGGAGAGGAAGTCTTCCCAGCAGGCACTCAGGCAGCAGTAAAAACCCAACATTGTTATTTTAATGAAAGCTTGTGCCCCATATTTAACAATCCCCCGATAATAGCAGTAAGGTTAAGTTAAATAAAAATGTAACAATACCCCAAAAATGTCTTAAAGCCCCCACCCAAGCAGACACACACATACTAATGCTCCACACACGTTAGATATCGTCATGTATTCCAGCGTGGGAGCAATAATTCCTGGGCCATTATTCATGGTTAAATCTAAACGTATGGCCTGTACTGGCTTTTAAATCGTCACCTACGGACAGCTTGGGGTACCGTAGTTTGTCATTTCACGGGGGCACGCAGCTATGACATTCTCCTCTCCTCCGCTGCAAGATGGAGCTTGACATGTTTGGTATCTATTTACTCAGTGCACCCTCATCTTTTATATTTTTCAAACAAATTGGGTAATATGTTGTGTTTGTGTGCACTAAAATTAACTAATACTATGTATTTTATACCGGAAATGTGGGTTTAATAAACTGTTGCTAATTTCATGCAACATCAAAAATTGCAACCATTATATTCAACAGGGTCTCTGCTTTCAGGAAATATGTAGAATTCTGGGGGGAATTGTAAGTAATCTTCAGGCCTAAGGGCTAGTTCACACCATAACTGCGGACATCTGCGCAGTGCTGCGGTTTGCTGCAATTTTGATGCTTTTTTTTAAAGCTTAAAATGGGCTTTCAGGTGCAGTCCAGTGTGTTCCAGTGCGTTTGCATTCCGTTGCGATCAGGTGCAGCTAAAATGAGACGAGCAGTATTTTTTTCTGTCTGCATCGGAACTGGCTGCACTGGTGTGAACAGAGCACCAGAAATCCTATTGGAAAGCATTGTGCAGCGGCTAACCTGAACGGACTGCATCTGGTGTGAACTAGCCCTAAAATGTGCATTTCAACATGTGTGCACAAAAATGCAAAATAACGGCAGTGAGAGGGTTAAACAGAACAATTTCTAGAATGCAATGTGTACCATTTGATTACTGCAAAACCTTTATTCTTTCCCCGTCGTCAGTAATGACAAAGTTATCACTTAATACATAGGCTCAGAGTTGAAATGTAGAAAAAAAAATGCTCTGGTCCATAAGTGGTGTAGAGGTGTGAGAACCAAAGTAGGTAAAATGTTGAATGTTCTTTTTATTTCAGAGCTTCCAGGAGCAGGGGAGGGGAGCGGAAAAGGTGCGACTCGTTTGTGAACAGCATGTTTGAAGAAGCGAAAGACGCTGACGTTCTTAATGCTTCTCCAGGAGATGAGGTAAGTTGTGTAAGAATGATGAAAAAGTGATCGGGTCGGTCGGGGGCGATGTATTCTGGGGCTGAGCTTAAAGTGATCCTTTGCCCTCATTTAGAGCCGCCGCCGCAAAATAACCGCCACTTCCAAGTGTAAGGGAGTGTTCTGTCCCCTCTACACGTTACCCTGTCACCTGTATAGCTCGACATGCAGCTAAACCCTCCTATTCTTCAATAAGCCAGACTAGATGGAATCTTGAAGCTTTATTAACAAAACAGGGTGGGGTCATACTGGTGACAAAGAACATGAAAACATACAATCAGTACATGAAACATGCAAATACAGTGTCAGCTTACAAATATACAGAGAAACATCCATACCAGCGATGCTGCCTAAAGGAATTTGGCGTTTTTCCTCCATACATGTGCTCAAGGATGGCATTAGATTCTCCTCTCCTTCGCTCCAAGATGGAGGCTGAACTCCCAGAATGCACCTGCCTTCCCTCCTGTTGGAGGTTGCTGGGAACTTGCTGTAGAAAAACGAAACCTCTAAAGATGCTAAACTGTAGATGTTCTCTTCAGCGCCATCTTGTGGCCAATGTTAATATGGCAGGTAGGTAAGTCTATCATTTCCTGCATGTTGAAAGGAGAACAGGGAGCATGCTACCTCTTCCACGGATACAGTTCTCTGGCCTGAGTGGCCATTGACCAGACCTGAACCCTATCACTTGATGAGGACTATGATATCATGAACCCACTGTGTAAGCTCTGACACCATCCAGCACATCTTATTTATAGAGTGTTTTTAAGCTAATCACAATTGCATGTATCTATAAAACAATAATAAAGGCTATAGATCCAATTAAAGGAAACCTGTACTGATAAGCCAAGTATGCAGACCAGGACCTCTGACCTTTCCTTTGATCATTGTTTCAGATCGGTGAATCAAAGTATTGAGGCCATAGACAGCCAGGCAATAGAAAGAAGTCCGTAATGGCAGCTTTAGTCATTTTTCTGAGTACGAAGTTTCCTTTTAACCCAGAGGTAGGCAAACTCTGGCCCTCTAGCTGTTGCATAACTACAAATCCCAATGAGGCATTGCAAGATTCTCACAGCCTCAGGCATGGCTCTGAAAGACAGATGCAAGATAGGATTTGTAGTTTCACCACAGCTTGAGGGCTGGAGTTTGCCCACCCCTGATTTAACCTTTCCCTTGGACAGCAGTACAAATCCTTTGACAAGTAAAAGAACTTCCACATAAGTTATCAGTGTATTTAGGTGTTTTCTAGAGCCTAGCCTTTAGAGAGATGGCGCACTTGAATTATTTGTCGTGTAGTATTTGCTATTTTCTGGTTCCCCTCTTCACCCTTCAGTAAATATTCAGAAGCTGTATGAACTCCATACTACTAGCAATCATTGTAACTTCACATTTAGCTTTTCTTTTTCCTCCACAGGCAGAAGTTGTTATCCGGATGTGGAAAAATGGGTTTACAATCAATGACAGTAAACTCAGGGATTATACAGATGCTGCAAATCGTCAGTTCATGGACTCTGTCAGGAAAGGGTGAGAGAAGCCTGATGTGTAGTTTGTAGTTGTCGTGATAAGTACTTGTTACTTGGCTCTGTAAATGTCATCTTGCTTCTCAACTGGACTGACCACAACCTGATGTTTTATGTGATAGAACTCCAGTACACAGACAAAAGCACCTATAACTTCAATGTATTTAGTGCAAATGACTTGTAAGTTGAAACATTCCAGCTGAAATGTGAGATTAGTCTTGCTGTGGGAATTTCTGCTTTGCAGATGAGTGGGCTAGATGGGGAGATTCTGGGTAGATGACATAATTTTGACATTGCAGCTCAGGGGGGTTGCAAGGGGGTTGGTCTGACTGACCTATAGATGGCTGCTAATTTCTTATTGGCCACCTGGATCGCTCTCCCACCAGGCTGGTAGTTCGCTGCTCTTTCTGCTTTAAAGGAGAACTATGGGGTCAGGGCTTTTCCCCATAGCTCTCCTTAGGGTAACGGGAGGACACAAACTAGCGTGCTCCCGTTACCCTAAGCTCAGTATATCGCAAGCTGCAGCTCGCGGTATACTGAGACGCCGGCGCGGATCCTGACATCGATGTCGAGATCCGTCCAGCTGTGTGAGTGACAGCTGGCTCTGCCTATCTAGAGGCAGAGCCAGCTGTACCCGCCCCCTCCCCTGTGCGTTCCGCCAGTCAGCGCTGGCGGATCGGAACTGGGAGGAGGGAATCCAGCCCCTCCCCTGTCACGCCAGAGAGCCGTGACAGGATCGAGAGGTGAGCGAACGCCGGTATATGTTCACTCACCTCCCGATCTACTGAGCCGACCTATGACAGTCTCATTGTCACAGGTCGGCTAGCACTATGAGGTGAGTGAGAAGCACTCACCTCATACTTCTCCTTTAAAGGGAAAGTTCGCTTTTTTGAAGAAAAAAACATAATGCACACTTCATAAAAGAAAAAAAAATCTGCATTTATTTTTTGCATAAAAGCCAGTAAAGCATTGCAACCGTGATCAGTAGATAGTGGGTGCAATGCCCTGGCTCCTGCAGACAGTTCCTCCCATCCATACCTGAGCTGAGCTACAGTAACCTGGACGGGTGGCAGAGTTAATGTACTACAAGTGCGGTAATGTCACCACACTTGTATTTGCTTTGAAACTACAAGTCCCTCTACTGCAATGGGAGATGGGACTTGTAGTTCTTCCATCCTGTGGACGGATGATGCAGCTGTATGGGAGGAGCCACCCAATTTAATAAAACGGAGGCCTGCGGAGAGAAGAACCCTGCGGTTCAGGTAAGTGTCGGGCGGCGGGGGGTTGCAATCTGACCATGTTATATGTTCTACCCTAAATAATGGTGTAACATAAAACCTGGTCAGAAAGGTGAACTAACCTGTGACGGTCTTACCTCTACTTCATATATGACACGGGAGTGAACCCCAGCAGGGGCGGGGAGAGAGTACAGAGGTCACCCAAGGACCAGCATGGTGCTTCTCTGATTGGGGATCAGAGGGAGATCGGTACACAAGCTCCCTCCGGTCCCCTCTCCGCTGTCAGAATGCGGAAGTGTTGTATATTACATCACTTCTGCATTCTCGTGTCACTCTCCAGCTTCAGACGCTGGGGAGAAGCTGGTGGAGCAGATCTCTGCATCGGCTTCTTCAGGGGGATGATGTCTCCATGAAGTGGACCTGTCACATCTATCGCATGAAGGGGGTTTCTTAGCCCCCTATGTGATAACAATAAAGTTGAGTGAAAAAAATAAAGTTTCCCAAAAAAATAATGTAAAGTTACACTTAAAAAAAAATAAAAAAATGTTTTTTTAAAGTCCCCACCTATACATATACACATGCTAACATGCGTCGGGTGCGCATACCTGCGAAAACGACAATTGCGCCCCCATTACGCCGCACGTGTTGCATATCACCACGAACGTCGCAGTGAGAGCAATAATTCTAGGGCCATCAATCACTGCTAATACTAAACTGATGAGCGGTAAAAGCTTTTAAAGCGTCGCCTATGGTCAATTTTGGGTATGGTAGTTTTTTGCAATTTCGCGGGTGCGCGCAATTTTTAAGCTTAAGATGTTTGGTGTTTATTTACCCGACGTGACCCCGTCTTTTATATTTTACCCAAAAAATTGGGTAATAATTGTATTATAACATAATGTCAAAAAAACTTTTTTTTTTTTATCAACATTTTCAGTAATTTTCCCGTAATATAGTAAAAAATAAATACTACCAAAAGAAAGCTCGATCTATCCCCCCAAAGAGGGTAAATTCATTTCAGTACAGCGCTGCATGACGGTATAAACGTCAGCCAAAGTACCGCAGCGCTGAATACTGAAAAATGGCCGGGACAGGAAGGGGGTGTAAACACCGCGGTCAGCAAGTGGTTAATGCTGCAGCTGAGGGACCAGGAATGTGAGAGTCTGAGGTATTGATGATGAGCTGCTTCTGCCTGACAGCTATTAGGACCTATAGTTCAGCCATATTGAACATGATGCACCAGTACATGGCTGACACTTTTACTTTATAATACCAATTCCTCTTTTCACATTAGAAGGGTCAATTCCAGCTATTGCCTCATTTGCTTTTCAACAATCCCTAACCAACAAATCTGAAGGGAACTCCTCACTCCTGGAAAAGACACTTTCTCCAGTGATTTGTTACAGGTCTGCGAGGGGTCACAGGCTAATAATTGGAAGAATCATTTAGCCAGAAGTGTTCTCTATACTCGGCCGATCTGCAGCTAATGTAGGAGAAATGCAAGTAGTAGTCCTGTGTAAAATGACATTCTTGTCTTGTAATTAGGGATGCACTAATACCGATACTAGTGCTGGGTATTTACTCGCCCAAATGTTCCGATGCCTAGCCCGATACTTCCGGTATCAGGAAGCCGGGCAGCGTGTAATGACTCGCTGCCCGGCGTTCTGATTGGCTGGGAAGCCAGCTTCATGCTCCCTCATTACCTCATGACGAGGGAGCACGGAGCTGCTCATCTAGTGACGAGAAGCATGGGGATGGCTTGCCTGCTAATCGGGAAGCCGGGTGGCGAGTCTTTACACGCCGCTTGGCTTCCTTAATGGGACTTCCGGTATGGGTTTTTGGTATCGGCGTGTAAAAATATCTGTACTCGATACCGAAATACCGGTATCTGTGCATCCCTACTTGTAGTAATTGACGGGGCCAAGAAGGGAATGAGCTAATCTCTTGGTGAAGTCATTCCACCTTTTATGTGTCAGTTTTTCTCACGCGGGTAGCTTGTGAGACCTGTACAGCGTATTGTCTAGTTTGCCTTGTACATGACATATAACAGTCCATGTGCAGTAATATAATGACGGATATGTATTCAATATTGTAAAGAATTGACCCTTTTTATTTTTCAGGGAGCTCCCGTCAGAGCTTCAGAGGACATTTGAGAAAGAAGAGGTGGCTGTAAATGTGGAAGACAGGAAGAGTGAAGAGTATTCATTGAAGAAGAAGCAAGTGGATCTGTTCTCTGGGAAGGGCCATAGACTGGGAAGGTGAGTCTCTTGTAGAGGTTATTGCAGACTGTGACCTCCATAGAGGAACCTTCTTATATGTTTTCACCATTTGGCTTTATCAGCAGGTCACACAAGAATCCATTTTGTTTTTTAATGGCTGGTTATGGAGTCAGAGAGCAGCTTCTGATTGGAGCAGTATGCACAATCCATAACACTGGGACTGGCTATGGTAGTGGGGTGGTTTTCCTTATTGCCAGTGAAATGTATGTGTGATCATACAGCTGTGCTGCCAGAAATAGATGTAGGTTTTAACCTCCCTGGCGGTATTCCCGAGTGTAGCTCGGGGTTACTTTTCCATACCATAAGCGGTAACCCCAAGCTACTCTCGGGAAAGCCGCATTGCATATACTTACCTTGTCCCTCGAGCCGCGCTGTGTTCTGCGGCCGATGCCGTCTTCCGGGTTCCGTCGCTTGCGAACGTACGCGTCGCAGGGGGGCGGAACCGGCGGGATATAAAAACAAAACGAAAAAATACCGAAAAATGACATGAAAAAAATCATAACGCCAGGGAGGTTAATTACTCAGTGGAATCAATATAAAAAAATAGCTCTCGGCTGATATGAAGGACACAAATTAGTAAACCTCTGTAAAAATGAATACATACTGTTATTTTTAATGCAAGCAGTGCAAGTACCTGACATTTAACCTGGTATTAGCCTCTTGTAGAACCTGTACAGCAGGGCTGGAGTGTATGATGAAGAAGCAGTACAAGCAGACAGTCAGTTCATGCGCAGACCAGAAGCATACTGATAGGAGGAGAATGCAGAGTGACAGGCAGATGAGCTTATCACTGTACTGCTCTCCTTCCACTGTTCAGTCACAGGCTGGGTCGGGTCCAGGGCATACTGGGCTCAGAGGGAGTGGGTTGAATGTTGCTGGCTATTTGACTAAGGACATTTAGTAGAAGAAATAAGTACTGTGGGAGAAATCTCTGGAATGAAGGTGAATGTATCAGCGAAAGTTGATTTTATGATTTTTCTTTTCATTAGCCTTTTATTTGATCTCGTCATTCTCGGCTGTAGTTCTGCGGTGAGCGAACATTTCAGAGGTCGTTTTGGTTGAGCATATAGTAATTTTTGTCTCTTCGTCTCTCAGTGCCACACCAAAGGTTATCCACAAAGATGGAGAAGAGCCGAGCTTCCCTACTATGGAGCTGAACGAGCTGGAGCCTTCTACAAACATCAAGATCTGGCTGGCAGATGGCAAGAGAATTGTGCAGAAGGTTAACACCTCACACAGGTATGCCACGCTGCTCCGGAGTACAAAGCCAGGCTTTTTAGTATATGGGTATAAGAGAATATATTAAGTATTGGGAGAGTAAAATTCACGCTGCCAAATATTTTGAGCCGGCGTGCAACACTGAGCGATCACAAACCGCTGATCATTCAGCTTTCAACTTCTGCCTGCAGTGACTGTCAGTCATCACTCCCTGCAGAGATTCCTCCCTCCCCTCTCTGTTCCTGCAGCACTCATTGGAGGAAGAGAAAGGGAAGAGGGCGGGCACAGGTGGCTCTGGCTCTAGAGAGGCTAGAGAAGCTGTCAATCAGGCAGCAGGATGGGTTCCAACAATATTGTTGAGAGCTTCCCAGCTGCAGCATAGCTCTGCACTGTCGGCATATAGCAGACGGTAGCTTGGGTAGTAGTTTGGGTCACAGGAATACACTAGTAAATGTCTTCCTGTGACCAAAAGATATCTAGAGCCAAAAAAAGAAAAGGTTTGGCTTAAGTTCTCTTTTAAAGTTGAACTACTCTGGCGGAACATGGAAGCAAATGGCCAGATCGTGCAGCTAAAAATCATCCAACATTTTTTATGTTCCAGCATCTCTGTCCCGCAATCTTTAGATCATCCCGTGCAAGACATTACCCTGCGTTCTCCCTTTGATGGGTAGCAGCTGCTAGCGGACAGCCTTGGTCCGCACAAATAATCGGGAACCAATCATAGTGGCGTGATCACCTACTTGTTGGAGGTGAATTCATAAATAATCAACCTTCAGCCTGCAGATGCTTCTGTAGCCTGAAGATTGTCAAAATAATAAACCATGTGTGAAACTAGAGCCGTATATGTCCTGAAAAAATAATATAGGTATCCACATTAGTTCTAGTCAAGTTAACCCTGGCTTATGGTGCTGCAAAATTTTGGTCTGGGTATCTAGGCTTCAATTACCTCTGATCATGAAGAGGTTAAAGCAGTGTTATGCTCTGCAGAGAAATCTCACCCGTTTCTACAATCCCAGTCTACTAAACTATTAAATGGTGAAACAGGATGGAGTGCCTTGGGGATCATTGATTGGAGCAGAGCCAACCACAGTAGCTCTGCTGTCACAGTTCTTTTTAAAGAGAATCTGTCACTTTTAAGAATACTGAAAGCTGATGAGAGATATAAAGCGCAGGCACCTAGATGTCTGTACATACCTGCAGCAGCTTTCAGTATTCTTCGCTTCGCCCAAATGTTAGGCCATTGCGATCAGGCAAAGCTTTGACACTTCTAGGTAGAGTCGGAGCTTTCTGTTAAGCCTTGCCCCCACCGATTCTTATTGGCCAATCACTATAATGAGCTGCCTCAGTGGCCAGTTGGAAGGAGGGAGAGGATTAGCTTGCCCAATCAGAATGCCTGGCACTTGGACAAAACGTAGGATTCTGAATGCTGCTGTAGATATGTGCACCTCCTGGGGACTTGCACTTACCTGTCAACACCTTTTTAGTATTGTCAAAGTGGCAGTCTCTTTAATCAAGATATACCTTGGGTTTTACTGAAGCATTGGTTATGGGGGAATAGGAACCATAGATAACCTGATGGCCAGGGGGGCAGATGGGATGTTTGTGGTTCCTCCTCAGTCCCCTTCTGTTACAGGCAAGTGCACAGTGAAAAGCTCCATGTAGTAATCAGCCAACAAACTAGGTTCATTTTCATACATGCTTCTATGTAGCGGCATTGAGATTCATTTACAGTTTACTACTGAAAGATGATTTTAATAATCCACTTAAATTTGTGGTGCCATTTCTCCTGATTTGGAGCAAGTTGGGCCATTGTAAATCTCTGTATTTCACAATTATAATTCTCCCGATCAGCCATGACCGTCATGTCAAAATTGCCAACCTGTCAGCAAATGGCTAAAGGCCCACAGATCTGCCATGGCAAAGGGCAATGCAGAATTTTCTGAAAATTTCCAGCACAGCGAATCATTTGCTTTCCCAATAAAGGTCTCTGTGTGTATGAGGCCAGCAAACGTGCCTGACTTGTTCTGCAGACATCTGAAAATGCTTTGGTGTTTGTGTAGTATATAGTCATCGGTTTATTTTTTTCTTTTGTAAGTTGCAAAAGCTGCCAAATGGCTCAAATGTTAGGAATCATTTTACCAATATTACTAAGGGAACGTTTGTGCAAATACTGTTTTGGGGTTACCGAAGGAAGGCCTGCGAGGTGAGGAACAAAAATTAGTCAACAGTAGTTGTAGTATGTCTGTGAAGATTCTCATTCATCCAGGTCACGTCGTATCTGTAAAAATAATAAATCAAGGCAGCTGTATTTTTCTTGAAGACCTTTTGCTGGTCATCCGACCAGCTTTCTCAATTCAGAATGGGCCTTGCATCCATTCTGAATAGAGATAGCTAGTTTGATGACCAGTGAAACATCTTCCAGAAAAATACAGCAAGTCCAGTTGTTGCCTTGACTTTATTGTGTGTGTGTGTGTGTCCATTTTCTTGCATTAAATAAAAACAATTTATATATATTTTATTTACATATATATCTATATATCCTTTGTCTGGGTGTCCATTTTGAAGATTTCCCCTCATTTCCTGTCCCAGTGACCACCATGGTTACAGAAATGTCTCTAAAATCATGGCCGAGGATCTACCCTTTCCCTCTGTAATAAAAAGTACTTTTGCTGCCATCTGTGGAGAGATTCTGTCTGGTGACATCAGAATTAAACGGGATTCTTTGCAATGGCCAAAGTAGTAAAGATGTAAGGCCTTGTTCACACCAAATGCAGATCCGGTCAGGTTTCTGCACACGCAGTGCAGTGGGTTGTGGCGCGTTTTTGATGCGTTCCAGGCCTTAATTTTTTTTTTCTTTTTAGTTTAACATGGGCTTTGAGTGCATTTCAGGCACTTGCATGTGTTTTGATGCGTTTGCATGCGTTCCAGAGCAGGTAAAATAGGGCTTGCTGCAGTTTTTTTTACATGCTCTGGAACTGCACGCTTCGATGTGAACTAGAGCCCAAAATACCATAGGAATACATTGGACGCAGTTTTGATCCGGTCTGTAACTGCTCTGCTCCTGGAACGCGCTTGGTGTGAACAAGGCCTAACAGAAGTTTGAGCTTTGCAAATTTCCGATCTGTTGGTTATAAAATGATTTTGTCTCTTGCAGGATCAGTGACGTGCGGCAATTCCTGGAGTCCGTGCCCTGTAAGTCTGAGAAGCTGCCCTTTAAATTGGCCACCTCTTTCCCTCTGTGTGACATCTTAGATGAGACCATCACCATCCAGGAAGCCCACCTGCACAATGCTGTTCTGGTCCAGAGACTGCAGAAAACCACAGAACCCTTCAGGGAGTCTTAGTCCAGACTCCATCAGAGATCGGTGCTATAAACCACTGAGACTGATGATGTAGCGCTTACTTTTTTTAGTTTTTTTTCCTTTTTATCAAAGATCTGAGAAGCACTGTGAACAGACTGTACTTATCCACCTGTTTTGGCGGCTTGTTTTTGATGCTTTTATACTAATTTTTATGAGGCAAGTGTGAAAAGATGGATGCTTACAAGACTGCTAAGTTTTTATACTGCTTTACACTGCGAGGTTCTGTACTTTCTGGATACAGGGGGTGCCTCTTACACATCTCCACCATCGCTCAGAATGCTTCTTCCTCACTGGCTCAAAGCTCCTCAGGTTCTTCCTAGCATATGCCAGGCCTGTGCATGCGCTTCTGACAAACGGTCTGCAGACTTTTACTCATACAGACACTCATGGCTTAAAGCAAAATGTATGATCCATTATCCAGGAGAGAACACGCTTTCTGTTCTTGAAGAGAGGCTGTTCATTCATTTGCAACCCTCAGCTCATTACCCCACAGCGTCGCTCATAGAAATGAATAGGTATCTATGGCAGTATCTCTTATGGTAATCCATCAATGATGTTGGGGTGTAAATCACTGAACAGTTGTCTTTACATAAGTGGAAAGATATTAACATATTGAGGATAAAACCTCTACACGTTGAGTGACGGCAGTTCTTGTTCCTGTACATTTCTCCGAGATAATGCACAGAGAAAGATTGTTGGTTTCAGCAGAAGAGTAAAATGGTTTGATAATAGGACAGCGAAGTCAAAGCTGGATGGAGATATGTGGTGATCAGGTGGTGATCAGGAGCCTGATTTTTACACTAGAAGCCAAGTGACGGTTTAAAGGAGAACTATGAGGTGAGTGATTTCCACTCACCTCATAGTTCTAGCCGACCTGTGACAATGAGACTGTCACAGGTCGGCTCAGTAGATCGGGAGGTGAGCGAACACATACCGGGTTCGCTCACCTCTAGATCCTGTAACGGCTCTCTGCCGTGACAAGGGGAGGGGCTGGATTCCCCTCTCCCCGCCCCGATCTGCCAGCGCTGACTGGCGGAACGGATGGGGGAGGGGGCGGGTGCAGCTGGCTCTGCCTCTAGATAGGCAGAGCCAGCTGTCACTCACGCAGCTGGGCGGATCTCGACGTCGATGTCGGGATCCGCTGCGACGTCTCAGTATACCACGAGCTGTAGCTCGCGGTATACTGAGCTTAGGGTGGCGGGAGGACGCTAGTTTGTGTCCTCCCGTTACCCTAAGGAGAACTATGGGGAAAAGCACTGACCCCATAGTTCTCCTTTTAAGGGCCTGTGTGGGGCTTGTGTAGATAAATAAATGCAGCTTGCTTTCAGGTGTATTCAGCCCAGATTTGAGATGCTTTCAGAGATCGTCACCGTTCATTGACAAGTGCATTTGACCTCCTTCTGAGCAGCCTCCGCCTGCTTCAAGCTACTTTTGCATTCCCATTGACCTATATAGGGAGAGAAGCAGTTCTGAGGAAAACAAATGCTAATGCTTGCGACACAAGCCCTTAGGGTTTGTGTTTGACAGTCTTGTTAAATACTACTATTACTCCCACCAGTGTTTAACCTGCATCTTAAAAGTATTTAGGAGGTTACTGTGGTTGAACTAGGGGCATTTCTGTTTAGTTATGTTGTGCAGCAGGGACGTGCAATGAGGTCTGTGGCAGGTGAGGCCACCCCTGGCGCTTTGTCTTTGGTCCAAACCATCCACAGAGCTTAAGTCTCTGACTCCAAGTCATAGGCTGTTTTTAGCTCTGGCCTCACTAGGTTAGGTTACTCTCAGGCGTGGGGAAGCCCGCTTCTGTGTAATGTAACATAGCTGTCAAAAGCCGGATAAAGAGTGCTTGTAATTACCAGGTGGCTCTCTGTCCGTGACAGGTTACATAGCGGAGATGCTTTCCCTGCTGTCTAATCTGTTAGAAGCCACTCTGAATGGAGAAAAAGCTGTCGGCTCGGCCTCCCCTGTCTCCCCTGCCTCCCCAGTCCAAACGTCCCTTTTGTGCAACAACTTAAGTGTGAGACCTGCTGGATAGAGGAGCAGCTTGCAACACTTTTTGTAGGGAGGAACAATCCATCAACATAGTCTATCACACTAGTTTAAAATAAGTGGTTGCAATAAAGTGCCACAAAAAGTATCTATCTGACATTGCCCTCAACATCCTCCGGTATATGGCAGGCTCCAATGCCTTAATTCTTCTTCGTTCTTCCTCCATCGCCGTGCTACAGCCTCCCTGAAAATCCCAGTACGTCCGGATATGGGGGGGGGAGGGGTGGGGACAGGACAAGTGAGCATCTCTCTGTCCTCTCACACTGCCTCATCCGTGTCTGAGCAGCCAGCCCAAGCACTGTCATATGGGCAAGGGCTGTGCCTAACTGTCTGCAAGTATTGACCATCAGTGTATAGTCATTAGTTGCCTAGAATCTTTGTACGTCCTGCAGCCGTAGATAAGAGGGAAGGTGCCTACTGTACATTTGGGGCTGTGCAGGGTTGTAACACGGGTTTCTTTTAAAGGGAGCCTGTCATGATAATATGGCATCTGTCATTGCTGACTTTTTTTTAAAGTTGTAAGTCGATGGAGAGACCCTCCGCACTCCCCACAGCAGTCCCGGCCAGATAAGAAAAAAAGTGGTGCTCGCAGTGATGAATTACCACGGATGGCGCCGTGCAAACACAGGAAAGTCAGGTAATCACCAGCACTCAGTACTAAAGATAAATATGTCCCTTTTATTGGACAGAAAGCATCACAGACATCCAAATAAACCAATCGGATGTCTGTGACGCTTTCTGTCCAATAAAAGGGACATATTTATCTTTACTACTGAGTGCTGGTGATTTCCTGACTTTCTTGTTTTTAAAGTTGACATCTTTTGCTTCAGTACTCAGGAGGGTGATTGCTTAGGGTAGCAGGAAATGTTGAGCCACTTTTGTTCTTGCATAACTCTCGGTGAGTCAATGATTTGTATGAAATATGTAGCAAGCTAAATCCAATGTCCATACCTGCTAAACTTGTTACCAAACCCATTAAAAAGGCGTGTGGATGTGTTTGCTGGATAAATGCCCAAAGAGCCCTAAAGTTGTTTTCTTATGTCAATGCCGACTTTGCAAGCACATTGCCTCCCATCCCTCACTAGTGATCATGGAGACCACCCACCACAGTTATGGGATGACGGAGAAGTGAGGGAAGGGGAAGACCAGTGTTACCAGAAGTTGCGATTTGCATATTCGCCCTCCCTGAGTGTTGATGCTCAAAAAGTTGTTTTAGATGAGAAAATGCAGACATGTAGCGGTATACAAGTAACCACGGCTGTAACGCATGTAAAGTGACAGGTTTTGTGAGATTGATGACCAAAGCTTGCACCACTTACCAGGTATTAGGCAGCATATATATTAAGTAGCACAATCATTTATATTTCACCTAATCTATTGGCTTTCAATACCGTTACTGCAGCGTGACTATTCAGACTTGGGACTAGTTTGCATTCCTTGGAAAACCAAGTCTGACTTTTAATGCGGGCTCTCAGACGGACATTTTTATTATGTGGTCACACTGCAGTTCTCAATTTTAACAGAAGATGGCGCTGTATGTAAAATATAGAAAGTGTAACTATATAGGGTTACCACATGCAAAGTGAATCATGCAATGTCATGTTGTATCCCAGAGCAGAGAGTTTAGAGATCAGATTTGGTGAAGAGATTGCCATGTTTGAGAAGGCTCCTTTCACACGGGCAGGCCCATTGGGTCAGCCTATCAGTGTTTAGGTGGACCCGATCAGATGCTCAATGTTGGTCTATGGGCAGCCGGGTCTAAACAGACAGGCGTTTTGTTTACACCCGGTTGCCCCCAACTCCAGCCAGGTCCGGAAGAGCATTCAGAACAGTGTTCCATTTCGCTGGACCTGATCATGCCAGACCGGGGGTAATCTGATGTAAATGTGCACATGTCCATTTACATTCGATTCCCTATAAACCAACATGGGGTCCGGTCATTTCAGTTTTTTCCTCCATCGCAAGGTGGCAGCAGTGACATCCACTCTGTACTGCTCCGATCAGGAGGGGATCCGTGCACTGATACCCTCCTGATCAGCCCGTGTGAAAGGGGACTAAGGGTTCGAGCGTGTTTATCTGTATGCATCATGTTATTAAATAGCAGGAACCTTACATTACAGATTACTGATTCCGAATAATAGTAGTAGGTCTGTGACCGGTATGTGGCTGGACTCAATGCTTCAGAGGTGCACTGTTCTCTGGAACTAGCAATGCTGCTTGGGTTTGGCTGCTTCGGACTATTCACTATGTGCAGAAAAAAGTCCATGGCATGTTCCTTGGGCTTTCATAGGCTCCTGTAATCTGTGATGTCATTATAGAATGGGCATGCTGCTTGTGATTGGTGCACATATGGGCTACCTCCACTGTGTTTACATGGCTGGTTCCCTATAAAAGAAACCAATGGGAGTAGACCGTGAGTCCCAAACAGTAAGTTATCCAATGCTATGTCTCGCTAGGGTGGGACACGTTCCTTGCAGTAATATGATGCAATGCCATTCATTCAAAGACAACCCAATGCATCCTACTGATGGACGTGCATTGCTGTGCATCTTGTATTGCGGTGTGGTGCACATTGACGCATGGCGTTCCGTTCAATACACCCCAACAGTGTGAATTGTTTCCTAAGCCATCAATGAATTGCCTCCTATGTGCTTCCTCTTGCCATCAGTGTATTCTGACCGTATTTATCTTGCTGTATACCAAGGCCAGAGGTAGCAAAGGAGACAATTTATCTTATTGTTAGCTGCATCAGATTGCTTATTCAGACCCTCAGGGATGTTCCTGCAGTGAAGCAGAGTATAGAAATACTTGGATATAGGGACCCTAATGCAGCATCAGGTGCCTCAGGGAAGTCGTTTCATAAGGCACATTAAAAGAATACTCATTTCTGTAAACGATATCAAGCTGTTTTACTCTTTGCTGAAACACAGATCTGCCATAATAATGGGATCCCTATATCCGGCATTATCCTGTCATATCATTCACAAATCAGGTAGTGGCAACCCGAAAACCTCGTCTTTACTTCAGGGCAATTTGTATTCAATCATAATACATCATCTTCTAGCTCATAGAACAAAGGGGCCGGCGGCACTACACTTGTATTGTCCTGCTCTTTCCCTGCTGTCAGCACATCATAGGACGTCACGTGACTCGACGTATCAATCAGCATGCTGTCTTGAGAAGATTGCTGTGTGTGTTAGCGATGAAAATTCTTAGATTTTGTTTTTATAAATTAAATGTTTTAAACTACTGGCGGCCTCTTTGTATTGCGTTTATTTTATAGCCTATTTAGAAAAGAATGAGACGGTGAAATATGAAAGTGTTTGAATGAAAAAGAGTGAGCATTTCTTAAAGTGACACTACACTCGGAGCTAAATACATTCAAGTACCTTAACGATTAACCACAATGCATCTTATTTGTGTATCACTCGGCTGTAGATCCTCCAATCATCTCTGAATTGGTGCTGGCACTGTCCTTCCTTCTGGAGGGGGGCTACTTTGGTTTTCTATGGTCCCAGTGTTTTAGAGTAGTCAATTCTCCAAGCTCACTCCTGTGATGGACTACAATCTCACATTGGAGTCCTAAATTTCTTTTTCTGCAGCCCCAGCACTCGTGAACAGGAAGCTCTCAGTACAGAGGCTTCCTGGTCATTCACAATCTGGAGATAGTAAATATTTACTATCAACCTAGTCATGAATGGACAGGAAGCCTCTGTACTGAGCTGCTCTCTGTTCATTCCTAAAGTGAGCGGATAGAAAATGTTTACTATGGCCCCATTAATAAATGAACAGGAAGTGATGTATAGAACTTCCTGTTCGTTCATAACTGGGGAGTGATGTATAGAACTTCCTGTTCGTTAATAACGCGGGACATAGTAAGCTTACCATGTCCTCAGTTATGTACAAACATTGAGCAATCAGTACTTATTGCTGAGTGTTTGTGCTCCGCTCTCCATCTTGACTGCTCCATTTGTCACAAACCCATGTCCCCTCCCACACCGCCCCGCTCAGCCTCCTGACAGCTTCTCTCCTCCCTGCGGGGTGCTGGCAGCTGGAACGGCTCTGTGTCCCCTCTGATCCCTGCTGCCTCTGCTGATACAGGCAAGGGAGAGCAGTGAGGATTGGAGGGGGCACAGACCGAAGCTTGCAGCTGGTGCCCAGCGGGGAGGAGAGAAGCTAGGGGCATGCACCACATTTTTAGTTTTTGTGCTATCAGTGTTTTACCCACAGCACCATTTTTGGTCGATCCCTAATCTAGACCTTTCCTCTCCAGCCTGACTGTTTGTGACCCACCCCCTTTCATTCATCGGAATCTAGTTATTTCAATCACAGAGGTTCCAAATCACATGTGGGCATTACCTATGGTGGTCTGTCTGTATGCAAACACAGTCTGCCTAGGAAAGCCCTCTCCTCCAGACTGACACCTGGCCATGAAGTTATTTTGATATTTGCATAACTTCTCCCAAGGGGCAGCCCGAAGCCTACATCAGGGCTGAGGGCCCCTGAGAGGAGTACAGAGGCAGGGTGCCAGGATGTTTTCAGGAAGCAATCTACAGCACCTTCCTACCAGCCATGATCTGGTTGCATTGTATGGAGAAGACCAAAGGCCCAGTGATGACATTGGGTATGTAATGACAACAGGTGTTATTTAGAAATGTCATCAGCATGTTGATGAGGAGCAGGGAAGGCAAAATACGAGCAAATTAAACTCCAGGTTGACGTATATCCACAACCAAAACCTTTTGGATAGAGTAGGGAAGGATTAAAATCCTCATCAATTTTTCATATGTCTTCTACATTCCAATTTGAAGAGGATTTTCCTTCTGGAAATGAGAGGAAATCTCTTCCAAGAAGGTCAGTCCTCAAGTTGTCACCGGAACAAGTTTTTTTTTTTTCTTCAGGTGACAACTCCAAATTTTGGCTTTTCTATCACTTTCACTCCCTGTGACCATGGTCACCAGGTCAGACAGAGAGGGTAAAGCTTGCTAGAGAGAACACGGCAATAAATACGAGACCCTCACCACTCCAATCCCAAACTAAAATAACAACATTTGGGCTTTAGATACACTTTGGAGTAGAACTGTGGTCAGCTTATGGCCAAATATTTCAAACCCCCAGTAACTAGACTTTAAACAAATTCATCCTCAAAGTTTATAGTAGAATGTAGTTTCACTTTTGTTTCCACAGCTCCATCCCTAGCAGTGACATTGGAGCCTTTCAGTCTTCTGTAGGGGTGGGAGAGCAGAGTGCTATAGCCATATTTTCTCTCCCCAGTAGACCCCTTATTCCAGGGGTGGGATTGCAGGCCAAGCTGAAAAAGACAGGACATTGTTTTGTGTTTCATTTGGGGGGGCGGGGGGGGGAGGGGGAATTGGTGTTATCATTACTTAGATGAACATTGAGAGAAAAAAAATGGTTCCTCCTTCCCCAGAGCTATTGGTCTACAGTTACTCCAGAAGATGGAGTTTTCCTAACCATGCTTTCATTTAAGAGAATGCCTAATGGCACCACCATTATGTACCCAGCTACAGCATTCCATTGGACCACACATGTGCCATCCCCCTGCTGACATTCTGTCCTCCGGAGTCCGGATTACTGCCTGAGTGGGCAAGATCCTGCAAGAAAGTGGTCCCTTATAGTTCTATGTTGTTGTATTCATTTTAGAAAGGAGACGAAGGGGTAGAAAAAGGATGGGGGAGAACAGGAGAAAGTGAGTGTAGAAAGAGAGAAAGGAAAAGGATATAGAGAGTAAAATAGAGAGATTTGGTTGGGGAGAAGGGGTCAGAGAAACAGGGTTATGGAAGAGATGGGGGGGGGGATACAGGGTTGACAAAGATATTGGGGAGAAGGGGTGAGATAGGGTTGAATGATATTGGGGAGAAGGGGTAATACTGGAGAGAGATAGGATGGGGAGAAGGGGTGAGACTGGAGAGAGATGGGTTTGAGAGATATTGGGGAGAAGGGGTGAGACTGGAGAGAGATGGGGTTGAGGGATTTTGGGGAGAAGGGGTCAATAAAGATATTGAGGAAAAGGGGTGAGACTGGTGATAGGGTTGATAGATATTGGGGAGAAGGGGTGAGACTGGAGAGAGTTAGGGGTTGAGAGATATTGGGGAGAAGGGGGTGTGACTGGCGAGAGGTAGGGGTTGAATGATATTGGGGAGAAGTGGTCATACTGGAGAGAAATGGGGGAAAGAGAGAAGGGGTGAGACTGGAGAGAGATAGGATGGAGGACGATATGGGGGAGAAGGTGATACTGGCGAGAGACGGGGTTGACAAAGATATTGAGGAGAAAGGTTGAGACTGGAGAGAGATGGGGTTGAGAAAGATATTGGGGAAAAGGGTTGAGACTGGAGAGAGATAGGGTTGAGAGATTTTGGGGAGAAGGGGTGAGACTGCAGAGAGGGTTGAGAAAGATATTGGGGGGAAAGGGGTGAGGGTGGAGATAGGGTTGAGAGATATTGGGGAGAAGGGGTGAGACTGGAGAGAGATGGGGTTGAGAGATATTGGTGAGACTGGAGAGAGATAGGGGTGAGGCTCAATAGAGATGGGGTTGAGAGATTTTGGGGAGAAGGGGTGAGACTGGAGAGAGATAGGGTTGAGAAAGATATTGGGGAAAAGGGGTGAGACTGGAGAGAGATGGGGTTGAGAAAGATATTGGGGAAAAGGGGTGAGACTGGAGAGAGATGGGGTTGAGAGATATTGGGGAAAAGGGGGGAGACTGGAAAGAGATGGGGTTGAGAGATTTTGGGGAGAAGGGGTGAGACTGGAGAGAGATAGGGTTGAGAAAGATATTGGAGAGAAGGGGTCGAGAAAGATATTGGGGAAAAGGGGTGAGACTGGAGAGAGATAGGGTTGAGAGATATTGGGGAGAAGAGGGAGATGTTGGGGAGAAGGGGTGAGACGGGAGAGAGATGGGGTTGAGAGATATTGGGGAAAAGGGGTGAGACTGGAGAGAGATGGGGTTGAGAGATATTGGGGAGAAGGGGTGAGACTGGAGAGAGATAGGGGTGAGAGATATTGGTGAGAAGGGGTGAGACTGGAGAGAGATGGGGTTGAGAGATTTTGGGGAGAAGGGGTGAGACTGGAGAGAGATAGGGTTGAGAAAGATATTGGAGAGAAGGGGTCGAGAAAGATATTGGGGAAAAGGGGTGAGACTGGAGAGAGATAGGGTTGAGAGATATTGGGGAGAAGGGGTGAGACTGGAGAGAGATGGGGTTGAGAGATATTGGGGAAAGGGGGGGGACTGGAGAGAGATAGGGTTGAGAGATATTGGGGAGAAGGGGTGAGACTGGAGAGAGATAGGGTTGAGAGATATTGGGGAGAAGGGGTGAGACTGGAGAGAGATGGGGTTGAGAAAGATATTGGGGAGAAGGGGAGAGACAGGCGAGAGATGGGGTTGAGAAAGATATTGGGGAGAAGGGGGTGAGACTGGAGAGGTCTCTAGAATTGATAAAAGGAAGAGATGGAGGGATAATGGGGGACAAAGACAAGTAAAGGGGGAGATGAGAGGTGGGCAGGAAAGTCAGGAGGGAGAGGATGGAAGAAGGAAGACAGGAGGGAGAGCAATAGAATAAAAGTAAAGGGGGAAGAGTGAATCAGAAGAGAAATACATATCCAACACACACCAAATGGGGGTAATTATTGATAACACAGACAAGGCTGGAAGTCACCTCTTCTACCTCTATGTATGAAGCATGCCGGGTCTATCTAACAAACATTCTTACACTTAACAAATAAAATAATGAAGTGATTGTCCGACTTATGTATTATATCCCACGGATCCCGTCTATTGATGATTATGAATAAGAGCTTGGAGGTAGGTTCCGGGACCCCACTTTGTACTGAGTAGCACCCCCCATGATGGATAATGTGATGACCTGATGATTGCTCTATTCGCATTCCAGAACTCCTAGAAGAAGAACATGAGAAGTCTGATGGTGATATTAGATGAGTGTAATAGTAAATGAACCCATATCTATGGAAATAATAAATGGTCGGTCACCCTGAAGATTAGAATGTGGGGAGCACACACTGCACATGCAGCGATATAGGAAGCCGGGATGAGCCGCACCGTTGTGTCCGTACTGGCTGCCTCCGCCCCGCCCCCTGTTGGCTGCACACAGCGCTGGCCGCACAGAGCTCACAGTGCCAGTGACATGGAAGAGGGATCGCTGGATCCCCGGCTCAGCGCACCGACAGCCAACAGCAAGAGGGACAGCTCCCACTCCCCACAGCGCCAGGTGAGTGCCAGTTATACCAGGGGGCATCTTATTGTATCTGAAGGCCAGTCTGATTATTGCAGTGCATGCCATTCCAGTATCAGGATCATAGACCTGCTGTACTGGAGAATGTATATCTGTACACACACATTGTACAAGTGTCACCTCCAGCATACCATACAACCCCATGGGCACAGACACAATTTCTGCTACAAGGAGCCTGACATTGGCTTGCTGGGGTTATAATCTGTATGTTATCACTGTGTATACACTGATACAGTGCACAATATATATTTGTAGTGGTGTCAGGAATCAAGGATTATTATACATTGCTCCTAGGGTCAGCTTGTGTTATCAAAGTTGTATGATCAGCCCTTTGTGGTTTTTTTTGTTAAAGGGCAACTCCTGCTTTATTCGCTTTTGTTTGGCTGATCTGATATTACATGACAAAAAAAGAATCCGCTTTGTAAATAGCATTCATTAAATGTGTTGCAGAATGATGCATGTACAGCGGGGGTCACCAAACTTTCTGTACAAAGCACTAGTTAACTGCCCTTAAGAGGTTATATTTTTTTGGGGGGGGGGGGCAAACTGTGGCCAGAAGAAGAAGAAAATGCAACAGGCTCATCGTCAGTGAGAGTTAAATATGCTCCTGGTTGGTGTGAGTGAAAAGTTACCTAGCAGTTGTGGTCAGTGTGGAGAGCAATAATGCAGCATCGGTGTCAGTGGAGGAAATGGTACCCCATCATTGAGGTATGCGGGAGGAATAGTGCCCCGCCGTTGGTGTTAGTGGAGGAAATAGTACACCATCATTGAGGTATGCGAGAGGAATAGTGCTCCACCGTTGCGTTGGTGTCAGTGAAGGAAATAGTACCCCATCATTGAGGTATGTGGGAGGAATAGTGCCCCATCGTTGGTGTCAGTGGAAGAAATAGTACCCCATTCTTTGGGGGTCTGTGGGAGGAATTGTGCCCCATCGTTGGTGTCAGAGCTCCAAAAAGCAGTATGGGTCTGGGAGCCATATACATACATAATATTAAAGCTGAGGCTTCCAGACCCGAATGGCAAACGTTCAGACTCAATTCGGGTCTTAAAGCCTCAGCTTTAGTATTATGTATATATAATTCATGTTCTGTAATACGAACAAATATTTGTTGCGGCAACATTGGGAGCTGAGGCTTACTAAAGCTGAGGCTCCCGGAATTCGGATTCAGACCCATTCGGATGCAATAAACTGAAAAACACATCTGAATGGCCAGAAAAGTCACATGTCCGATTTATATTAGTTTTTAAACAAAATTCGGACGGGATCCGAAATTTTGTAAACAGAAATTCGTATTCGGACACATCCGGGTTCATTGGGATTCGGAAATTCGGATGTGTACAAATTTTGGAAAATTCGTACGAATTTTGATTTGAAACGAAACGAATTGCACATGTATAATGTCTACTAACACTACTGTGCCACCCTATGCATTTTCATTCTTTCATTACTCTTCTTAGCCCGTTATTGGTTAAAATATTGTCTATTACTGTTGACTTGGAAGTACGAGTTTTGACTCTCTTGGTACGTAGATATGCCCGGTGTGGCTACTTGTTGTACCGTGTTCCTGGTTATAAAAACATTTAATAAAAAGAGAGTTGTCAAAAAAACCCAAAAAAGTGAGTAATACTATTTAAAAAGTTTATTTCACCAACTTGGTTTGCAGTATCAGATTTGTCATAAAGAAGGAGTCATGCTTCTAACATACTGGACTTCATACAGATCTTCTACAACTGAAGGTTCAGGCAGCTCAGGTTATGAACTGTTATCTCCAGAGAGGTGGATATGGTTGTGTCCCGCTGGACCTGCTGATGACTTTGTATTGTCACATAATAAAAAGTTGCAAGTTACAAATTCTCCTAAAAACACATTTAATAGAGGGGCGAACAGTTATTATGGAATTCAGAAGCCAGTCTGACCAATCCAGGAGCCAGAAAGATTTTTTTAAAGGAGAACTATGAGGTGAGTGCTTTTCACTCACCTCACAGTTCTAGCCGACCTGTGACAATGAGACTGTCACAGGTCGGCTCAGTAGATCGGGAGGTGAGCAAACACATACCGGCGTTCGCTCACCTCTCGATCCTGTCACGGCTCTCTGCCGTGACAGGGGAGGGGCTGGATTCCCCCCTCCCCGCTCAGTCAGCGCTGGCGGATCGGACAGGGAGGGGGCGGGTACAGCTGGCTCTGCCTCTAGATAGGCAGAGCCAGCTGTCACTCACTCAGCTAGGCGGATCCAGACATAATTGTCAGGATCCGCTTCATCGTCTCAGTGTACCGCGAGCAGTAGCTCACGGTATACTGTGGCGTCTCAGTATACCGCGAGCTGTAGCTCGCGGTATACTGAGCTTAGGGTGACGGGAGGACGCTAGTTTGTGTCCTCCCGTTACCCTAAGGAGAACTATGGGGAAAAGCCTTAACCCCATAGTTCTCCTTTAATGCTCCATTGACACCAACTAAAGAAAACTGCATAAGGTGGGCGCCAGCTGTCAGTTTTAGGGAGCATTGGCGACCTGGCTTCTGGGATTTGTCCAGCCCTGAGTCGAGTGTGACTTTCAGCTTCTATTGTATGGGCGATGCAAGCCAAAAATAATGGTATAGGACAGTGGTGGCGAACCTTGGCACTCCAGCTGTTTTGGAACTACAAGTCCCATGAGGCATTGCAAGGCTCTGACAGCCACAGACATAACTCCCAGAGGCAGATGCATGTTGGGATTTGTAGTTTTGGCACAGCTGGAGTGCCAAGGTTCATCACCACTGGTATAGGACATTTTAAAAATGAATACATTTGTCATAGCATATAACATGGTATTCCCCAAACTGACTATAGTTGGACAGATCTGGTGATAATATCAGGTCTTCAAGCAGCCAATCAGCTGCAGTCACTGCGCAGGTATTCTGAGAGCGGCACAACTGCCATTGTGAGAATACAAAGACTTGGAATAAAGGTTGGGAATTCAGCGTTTTTTCTTGTACAGTGTATGGCCAGCTGTAGATTGCACAGCACACAACCAAATGACAATACATTGGATAAAACATTGAAGTAAACCTGCCACACTCTTGGGCAATTACAATGGATATGGTGAAAAAAATACATAAACATTAATTTCTTTTCATGAAAACCGTTAGAGATATAAAGAGCAACATTTATATGCAAAACTTGACTTTTCCTGTAAAATTCAGGCTTGGCCCTGCCCCCACTTGATCTTTAACCCCTCGTGACCAGTGACGTGCATAGTACGTCACTGGCAGCGGGCCCGTTTTAAACAGACTCCGTTTACATTTGTAGAGCCAGCGGCCGGCTTTACAAAAGAAGTGATTCAGGTTGCTTCTACGGGGCGGAAAACTGCCCCCCCTTCCAGACCGACACCCCCGCCGTGTTGCCCAGGCTCCGCTGCTCCTCCTGCGGGCCCAGGACTGGCATGTCAAGGGGTCAGCGGAAAGCTGGGGAGGAGAGCAGCGAACGTCCATTCTCCGGTCTCCACTCTGTTCTATGAAACAGGGAGCGACACGTATTGCATCTCTCCCAGTCCTTGAGCTGTCAATGCTGGGCTCCTGAAGTCGAGTAATAAGCTATTGGAGTGCGATCCGCACTTCAATAGCTTATTTAAAGTGGAAAGGTGATACTAGGGGTCTTTTGGAGGACCCTTAAAAAGGGCTTGTCACTGCCAATATGCTATCACGTGGGGGGCTTGTAAGCCAGAGTGAGTGCAATAATTATAGAGCCAATATTTATGCATATCTCAAAACTGTAGGGGCGTTTAAAGCGCCTTCTATGGACTTTTTGGGGTACTGCATTTTATCTCTGTTTCACGGACGCACACAATTTTTAACCTGGGCATGTTGGGTATCTATTTACTCGTTGTAACCTCATCTTTTATATTTTACAAAAACAAAATAGTGTTATATTGTGTTTTAGAGCACTAAATGTAACTTAACTACCTCCGGGCCGGCCGTAGTAAAAAAACGGCCGGCCAGGAGCTCTCTCGATCTGAGCGGGCGTCTCTAGACGTCCACTCAGACACGCCCCCTTGCGCGCGCCGCCAGGCGCGCGCGAGCGGGAAATGGCCGGAATTTAAAAACGGGCAGCGATGCCCGTTAATATACATGCGATCCGCCGGCTGTAGAGCCGGCCGATCGCATGTATGGGGTGCCGATCGGGTGATGAAAAATGGCCTGGCCAGGAAGGGGGTCTAAACACCTGGTCTTGAAGTGGTTAAGAGCATATTTCACTAAATCTTTGGGTTTGATCATAAGTTGCGCTAATGTCGTGCAACATAAATTTTTGCAACTGACACAGTTTTATTCTACAGGGTCTTGGCTTTCAGGAAAATACATAATGTTTGGGGTTTGAAGTAATATTAAGGCCTAAAATGTGGATTATAACATGGGTGCAAAAAACAAAAAAAAGGCCTCGGTCATTAAGGGGTTAATGCAGTAAGCCTGCCATCACATAGAGGACCAATAGAGAGACTTACAGAGGTAACTTTGTAGGCGTAGTAGACTGTTATTATAAAAAGTTGAGTTGCAGAAATGACATGGAAGCTCAGTTTGTAGACCATTTCCACATTGCTCCTTGCCAGCGGTTCTGTCACTGTCCAGGTTTATTTGGGTTCTTTCTATAGTCCTCGGCTTTGTAATGGATTATCTTGCTCAGCATTTAAATGGAAATGACAAGTTGCAGAGTTTTGTTGACAGTGTAACATTTGAGTTCAGTGTATGGAAAGTCTTCAGTACGGATGTCAGTTTGCTTAGTAAGAGCCACAGTGGGGGATTCTGGGAAATACACTGCTGCAGATAACTGGAGCTCTTCCCTTATCTGACAGCTGCACCTTCCCAAAGCCTGACACATTGAAGGTCTATGCTTGTCTATTTCTGTCATTCAACCACTCAGACCTTCATGGGGGCCAGCGATAAACTGCATGAGTAGTAAGCAGGACCGGCCCCAGCTGTGCCAACAGTTTATATAAAAGCACGTGGG